AAGGTTCCAGGTGGGGCCCGAACCCAGAACCTTCTTGCTGTGTGGCAACGGTGCTAACCACTGCGCCACTGTGCTGCCTGTGTGAAATTCAATCTCAGTATAAATACAGCTGTTCTGTGATGGCCTCAGAGGTTTGTTAGAGAACATTAGTAAACAAACAGCATCATGAAGACTAAGGAACACACCAGACAGATCAGGGATAAAGTTGTGGAGAAGTTTAAAGCAGGATTAGGTTATAAAAACATATCCCAAGCTTTGAACATTTCACGGCGCACCGTTAAATCCATCATCCCAAAATGGAAAGCATATGTCACAACTGCAAACCTACACATGGTCGTCCACCTAAACTCACGGGCCGGACAAGGAGGGCATTCATCACAGAAGTAACCAAGAGGCCCATGTTAACTCTGGAGGAGCTACAGAGATCCACAGCTCAGGTGGGACAATCTGTCCACAGGACAACTATTAGTCATGTACTCCACAAATCTGGCTTTTATGGAAGAGTGGCAAGAAGAAAGCCATTGTTGAAAGAAAGCAATAAGAAGTCCCGTTTGCAGTTTGCCACAAGCCATGACACAGCAAACATGTGGAAGAAGGTGCTCTTGTCAGATGAGACCAAAAATGAACTTTTTGGCCCACATGCAAAACGCTATGTGTGGCGGAAACATAACACTGCACATCAACCTGAACACACCGTCTCCACTGTGAAACATGGTGGTGGCAGCATCATGCTGTGGGAATGCTTTTCTTCAGCAGGGACTAAGGAAGCTGGTCAAAGTTGATAGAAAGATGGATGGAGCTAAATACAGGGCAATCCTGGAAGAAAACCTGTTAGAAGCTGCAAAAGACTTGGGACTGGGGTGGAGGTTCTCCTTCTAGCGGTACAACGACCCTAAACATACAGCTAGAGCCACAGTGGAATGGTTTAGATCAAAGCATATTCATGTGTTAGAATGGCCCGGGCAAAGTCCAGACCTAAATCCTATTGAGAATCTGTGGCAAGACTTGAAAATTGCTGTTCACAGATGCTCTCCATCCGATCTGACTGAACTGGAGCTATTTTGCAAAGAACAATGGGCAAAAATTGCAGCCTCTAGATGTGTAAAGCTGGTAGAGACATACCCCAAAAGACTTGCAGTCTTGAAGTATTGACTCAAGGGGGCTTAATACACATGCATGCCACACTTTTCAGATTTTTATTTGTAAAAAATCTTGAACACCATGTATCATTTTCCTTCCACTTCAAAATTATGTGATACTTTGTGTTGATCTATCACATAAAATCCCAATAAAACACGTTTAAGTTTGTGGTTGTAATGTGACAAAATGTGTAAAAATTCAAGGGGTATGAATACTTTTACAAGGCACTGTATAGTCTGTCCTATATGACTGAAATGTCAACCTGCTAACTTCCACTTTTTTCATGTTGTGCAAATTTATTGTACTAACAGGGAGAATGAACTTTGCCCCCATCTCTGATTATTTTTGGCCACTTAAAACAGGAGCAAATACATGCAAAAACTGTGGACACTGGACTGAGGCAGGCTTTGAGCCCATGATTTCAACCTGAAACCCACAGCTATTTAGGAAAACAAATTCCACTGAGATTTACAACCTCTTTCACAAGGTAACCCCGGCAAGACAAGATTTCCCTTTGGAAACTATTCAAGTGATTGGGGCAGAAATCATGAAGGCTTTCTTTCCCTTCTCTGTCCAAACACTGGGGAAAGACAGCAGGCTTGTCTTGTGACCTAAAATTAAAAGTGGAGGTCCATGAAATATGTTTGCAAAGATATGGAGGAGGTTTGTCTACAATAACTTTATAAATCATCATACACCAATTTAAAAATATAACAGTAAACAGTAAGGATGGGATGTGACTGTTTCCTCGATATGGTTCAATGCACAGTATGGTCTGTATGATTCGATTCAATCATGATACAGTTAAAAATTCAATGGCAACAATGTTTGACTAGCTTTGGAATACCTGTACCACGTATATTGAGTTACATTATATTAGGCTATCTTATTTACAGAAAACATGAAGTCGCTGGTACACAGAGACCACACGATGCATATCACTAGACAAAATACATCCTTTTTGTATCGGGATATATTGAATTTCAGTATATTGCCCCATTCCTGGTAAACAGTGGTACAAATCTCTGTGCAAACTATTACTGGATACAAAAGCAGCCTGAAAAACAGCTACAAAGCATAGAGACAATTTACAAAAGCAGGATGCTGTCTTTGAGTGGTGTCTGCAGACAGGATTTTATAACCTTTAAAGGCCTTTTCAAGCCCAAATATATATATAAAAAATCTAATAACATGTTTTGAACAAATGTGGGGAGATTTCAGTTGACAAATAACAAGAGAATTGATTTGAATGTGCTACAACAGACCAAGTGTATCTTAAATCCAATTAATCAGTTAATTTCAAGAGACTAAACATATAATAGGCAAGGCTGTGCACTTATAGACAATTGAGAATGCTCATTTCTTGTGCTTTTAATGTGTTTTAATGTTCCTTCATTTATTCAGACACACTCAACAGAAGTATCCCAGCCCAGTGTATGCAAGTCATCTACTTTTGACTCAGCATATCTGTCAATATTAGGAATAAGGTAGATGTACAGCTAGATATAGGGCACAGCAATTTAAGTAAATAGTGTGATAAACTAACAGCTATTTCTGAATAGAGCTGAATAGGGCTTTATGTGCAAGTACTATGATTTACAGGATTTTTGTGATTCTAGGATATAAGGCCCAAAACCTACTTTGCTCTGAAGACCTCAACTATTTATAAAAGGACATCTGGTTAAAAAATAAATAACTAAATGAACTGAAATGAAATCCTAAGTGCAAATTTAAATCATTTCAGTGGCTTTAAAGGGTTGATATACTGCATGTAGAACTAAATTCAACTCATCTGAGGTCCTGCACTGGGGTCATCAGATGTTTTCTTGTATTCCCACAGAGATTCCTCTTTGATGACATGAAGGATCTTTGTGGAACAGCTGCTGCAATTTGTTTCAAATATATAATCTGCTCCCTGAAGTCACTTGGAATTTGATCTGGCAGTCATGCTGACAAAAAGCTGGTGTCAATGTGTTGCAATTACACTTCCCATTCTCAAATGGTGCTGTATTCACTACTACACCCAAAGAGACAGTGTGCCTGTACCTCCCAGCCAGTGATGAGTAGGTGGCTGCATGTTCATGTTGAATTCTCTATTTTAACTGTTATATTACAGAGGTCTAACATGATGTGAGGACAGTTAATGAGAGGGGGAAAAAAAGCATAAATGCATGCACTGACACATGCACACAACAAAAAGCCTACAATGTAAATCAGTGCACTTGGGAACCTTTTATGAGACAAGGTACCTTGTCCTTCGGGTGTCTCTCCGAGAGGATTGACTTCGACTTGAGTGGCGTCGACTTTCAGGAACAGATCATAGAGCCTCTTCATCTGATGCGCTGCCTGCGAGGTCCACAGAGGACAGTAATTACCCGATGGTACGGCTCTAAGCAGCCGGCCCCGCCAAGGCCACTCAACCTCCCACACAGGCGACACAAAACATGGCAAATCACCTTAAACATAATTGTAATTTACTTTTCTTTTTTTTTTTTTGTCAAGCTGTGTGAAAATAAGTAAATAAGACGGACTAAAAAACACTTACCAGCTCACTTTGATTAATGTGCTTACAAATACATACGCTTATAAAACACATTTCAGTGTATTATCAATACAATTTTATACAAAACTGATTTTTACTAACAGACAGTAGATGAACAGTTAGTGAATACAGCACCATAGAAATGGCACCTTTTAATCCCCACTGACAAAATCCTCCTTTTAAAATGATCTCAACAGATAAAACATATAATATTTCTACGGGTACAACTGTTCTTCAATAATAATGGCAGCTCAAAAGCACTGAAAGACATCTCTGTATATAGTTTCTACACACACCCCACCAATCTCACTTACATCCTTCTGTCACAAACACACCAGCACACACTTAACAGTATAGGCTTGCACACACACTTGGATCTACACAAAGCTCCTGTCATCCCATAGCTCATTCAAGACAGTAAAGTTAGAAGAGCTGTAATTATCTCTGAATTAAAGAGTCTGGCAGCTGACTCATAGCAGCCAATGAAGAGCATACTGACAGTGCAGGCACTCAACCAATCACTTTCTATTTCTCTCTTTGCCTGTTTAAAATCAATGCCCATTCAGTATCCTGCAAATAAAGAATCATATACAATGGGTTGCAACTAAAGCTCAAATGTCTTTGACTCTCACTTTGCTTCTCAGAATCAGATTCTTTCAGCTCATTTGCACGTATTCCATGTGTTAAGATTCTGAGCTAATCTGATTTCTCATGCTATGGTGGCTGTGGAAAAGAAAACAAATCAGTGATCTGATGCTGAGAGACAAATGGCTTTGAAATGAACTCTACATCTAAGCAGGTACTCATTCTGAGTGTGAGCCTAGGGTCTCTCTACTGTTTATCCATGGCCTTATTTTCTGATCCAATACAGCCTGAACAAGATTTGTGACACTCAAGGTGATGAGAAAAAAAGTCTGTTTTGCTGTCCTCTAAATCATAGGTTGCCCACTGAGTTTTATTTCTTACTACACGATTCACTCACAAAAATGGTGCATGTTCTATCAAATAATGGTATCAATAGTGATGTCAGCTCCCACATTCTGGCATAGCGCTGTGTGCCACTGCCAGACAGGACAATAGACCACCTGGCAAGTGAGCCTCGTGTAATGATGCTTCATAATTTGCCTCTGGCAAACTAATAATAGGCAAAGTTTGGTTTGTTTGTGAATGAGCACCATTGGTCTCTATGTGTGTGTGTGTGTGTTTATATCATAGATCTTTCTGCCTCTTCATCGCATTGTGACTTTAAAGCCTTCAGCGCCCATTACCTGTCTCTGCAGAGGTCCTCTGAAACCCAAATTAGCTGCCATGCGAAGTGCCTGGTCGTCTTGCACACCTTCAAATATATCTATAGCTTCCTATAAGATTAGCAGGGGAATTGAAAGACAGAGGGAGAGAAACACAGAGAAGTAGGGAGTGAGAAAGAATGGGAGGCTCAAACGCTGGGCTTTGAGTTGACACAAAGCGGATGTTCATATTAAAAATGCTGACATCATAATTAAGTACTGGCAAGCTGCCAGAGATGTAGAGAAGGAAGAGCTGGGACTGACGCAGTGGATATATGATCATCAGACGTTCATATCCTTGACTTTCTGATACTGAACTCTAAAACTGTTGTTATAGGTATAAAAATGTATGAAGGATTCTAAGGTGAAAAGTCCTGAAGCAAAAGTATAAAACTACAATTTGCGTTAGCTGGTATGAACTAATTTAAACTAGGTCTGGACCATACCGGTTTTAATGAGAAGTCCAAAATGTGCAGTGTGCTGTCGCGTGTGTCACCATAAGTAATTTGTTCCAAATATAATCTGAAACCACTGGTGGAAATAATGAATAACATAAGGGTGGAACTTTACAATCTGCTCTAACATCTGCAGATAATAGCAAAAGAAAGACTTATAACATTAGGAAGTGCAGGAAAACCTTATCTGTAATGCTTAAATTGTACATCTGTCAACACTGATAGGAATCTGTTGCAGAGTAGCAAACTGTCTATAGTGGATTAATTTCTGTAAATAAAATTTAATTATCAGCTATATAACACACAGAAGACTTCTTCATGTGTGTGTTTATTTGTTCATGTTAATTAAGCTCCAGTGTGTTGCTGTTCAGTTGCTGCTGTGTGCATGCAAGTAGAATAATAAATTAAATTGAATTAGAAAATATGAACAGACCATAGCTTACATCTGCAGGACCCACTTGGCGATTCAGTCCTGACACAATTTCAGGTCAAATAAAACCTTTAATTACAGGGTGACATACTGTATGTGAGCAAAGAAAGAAAGGGCTTTGCACTTTTAAAGAGTTCCACTGTGCCAGGTGTGATTGATCCATTTCAACGTCTGCACTGTTTTTGAGGCAGATACTTTTCATTGCCTTATTCATCTCATTTGCTATTGTAGCAATGGGTTTACATCAAAATCATATACCTTAAAAATGAGTTCTGGGGTTTTGGCAGCCACCTCCTCAATATCCATACCTCCCTGGGGGCTTCCCACCATGACGGGACCATTAAAGGCGCGGTCCATCAAGATAGCAAAGTAGGTCTCCCTGGTAATGTCCAGGGCCTCGGCAACCATCACCTGGACAAGGCACAGGAGGAGAAACATGGGCTAATGAATGAATTCTGCTATGATATCACATTCACTCCACGATCACAGACACACTTATTCACAGACATACTTAATGCTGCTCTAATAAAAATCCCATTTGATCTTCCCTGATCATCCCTAGCCCTTAGCAAACTTTGCCATTTTTGCATTACGCCGTATCTTTAAAAGTTGCATTATATTTAATACTAGATTCAACACACAGGCAAATTAGCAGGGTCCACAGATTGGCAGAATCTGTGAAGCACTGGTCTGAGGAAATCTCATTTGTTGAGATATGAAAGTCAAAGAGGCAATCAGAGAAGAACTATGCTGATAGGCAGAGGGAGGATGCAAAAACGACACTCATTTGGAAAAGAAAGGAAAAAATAAAAGGAGACAATCACTTGTGATATGGTTAATGAGCTGCAGGCTTTCTGGATGGAGTGTTTGCTGTGTTTGTTGCTTCTTGCTATGCTGTTCTTCTATCGCTCTGTGAATGAGGACGGACACCTTCTCAATGCTCCGTGTTAACTAACAGCACTCCTATCTCCTTGTCCAGATGTCGTCTTCCCCAGTCATTCACACATTCTCCTAAGTTCCTTGTCATCTGACTTGTAGCCTGATTCTTCACTCAAACTAAACATATTCTATTCCCACAGTCTTTCGTTTGCCCTTAAACCTGTTTTTGTCCCCTGTAGACTTCTCCCACAACTGTCTTTCACACCACCCGCCTCGCTGTTCCAGTCTTCTCTCCCATCACTCTCTTAGTGCACTGACATCAAATCCATGTAGCGTATGTAGAAGTGCTTCACTGTTTCCTTTCTCTGTTGTGCTGTATGGGTTGAGGGTTGATGTGAGCTCCACTGGCAGGTTGACGCCTAAGTTCTGGCTATTATCCTGCAGACCAAATTCTCAGTACACAATTACTGTGCTCAATCGTTTAGGTCAGTCAATGGCTGTTCATGCCAGGTCTGATTATAATGCTCCAGTTGATAGAGGCAAATTGAAGGTCATGTATGAATATTTGTCCAGTTTGGTTTGTTTACTTTTTACCATTTGCTTCTAAGATGTAGAATTAAATTCTGAGCATGTGAAGGTTGTTTACTGCAAGTGCTTTGTACAAAAATGAATAAAAAAAAAGTGTGACACTCATTTGATTCCACCTAAACTCTGCAGTACAAGCAGGAGCAGGAGATGGTTTGGAAGTGGAGAATAGCAGGGGTAAACAGAGATGGAAACTGACAAAGAAAAAGCTGGGGACGCACACACAAGCCACAAACAAAGGCTTCATCACCTGGAAATGTCTCTTTTGAGGAGGTACTGCATGCAGCATGTGAGTAGAGAAAATGATATTCCTGCTTGTTAGTGGCACATAGAAACTGTTGTTTACCACAAACATCAAATTCACAGTGGGCCCAGCTCAATTTATGCAACGAGACAACACCAGCCAGTGTAAAACCCACAGTAAACACCAGTGGATGACTACTGTTTAACCCTAAAAAAAAAAAACAGAGCCAGACTGCCTTCAAATTAATTAATTTTACATAAGTGCATTATTGGACTCAATGACTTAAAATGAGGTCAAGAGGAAAAATTTAAAAAGCAAAGTAAATCTTTCTTTCTTCCTGTGCAATGACTCACCATTTTCACTTTGACTCCATCTTTAGGTGTCTGCTTTGTAATCAGGTTGAAACCCAGCATCTTATTGGCCAGTTCACCAACAACTGCAGGGCTGAAGGAGATGTGATATAGGTCAATATCGTTTTTCAAACAACAGACTTTGATGTAAGAAAAGAAAAATTGCAGAAAAGCTTACACTTAAACAATGAAAGATGTGAAAAGCAGGAGAACTAACAGAATGCATAAGTCTTTTTCCCCCAACTCTTCAGACCTTTGTTCAGTTAAAGAGAGATATGCCTCTGCACTTTCTGGGCATTAATGTAACATATTCTAACAAAGCGCAGTGTTTGGAGACACTTTGGTACATCACTGTGAAAGAACCTCTATTTATACTCTGTTTAAAAGCAACCTGCATGCAGGGGCTGCTTCTCTAAGCCTGCTCTGGTTTTATAAGTGAATACAAATAAAGCTAGGGATTGTACTCATCCTGTGACAGATAAGAGGAAGGTGAACTGTGTGCTCATGTCACTATCTGGAGACGATGAACTGCAGCATATCTCACTTTAAAAAAGTTTCCATCCATTCTGAGCCCTGAAGTACAGTAGGTAGTATATGGTAGGTACCTTTACTAAAAAGACTGCACTATTTTAGTACAGAGAGAGAGGCAACATGCAGTACCTGATCAAAGAAAGGCTCTTTCAAGTTGTTGTTTAGCCTTTTGAAAAATGCAGAAGAGTTCACAGTGAGTCGTCATTGGAGGAATGCATCTATCACATTTAGTCATTTTAAGACAAGACTAAATAAACCCAAATCAACCTGAGGAAAGAAAACTCAGTATGATATGAAAAACACTGCAGCTGACCTTAAAATACCTTTTTAAACATTTAATTGAGAGTAGTTGTTCAAATAAGAGACACTGGAAAAAAGAGAAAAAACGTTTATTTGTAGCACAAGTAATCCTGACTGTGTCTTCATACCTAGGGAACATCTTCAGAGAGCTCTTTGAGCCCCCTCGCTCTAAAAGCTGCTGGCGTAGTAGAAAATAATATGAATCTATCTCCTGCAGTAACTCACTATGAGAAATGCACATATGGGGCATACGTACTCTTTTGTTAAATGCACTCCACCTTTAAGGCCACTGTCAAACACACCCTTGCCTCTACCACCGGCCAGAATCTGAGCTTTCAGCACGATCTCCTTGGCATCTGAAAGAGAGGGAGACATGGACAAAGAGAAACAGACAGACAAAGAAAGTGAGACAGAACACTTAAAATTTAGGCTCAGTACCTTGAATGCCTCCTTGGGTCTGTCACTTATATGTCTATCTGATTGAAGGAAGAGGAAGGAAGAAGAAAATAGGGGTGAGTGTGATGTGTGAAAAGATCAGAAATTATGTCAGGAAGGAAAAATGTTTACCCTCTTGAGCTCAGCTGTCATTGACAAGGAAAATTACCCTGTACTACTAATTTAAAGGTATTACAGGATTTTACTGTACCCATACTGAAATTGACATAAAAGATCTTTTACAAGACACAGTCTGCAGCAATGCTAGTAATTCTCAGCAGAGCTTTGAGCTAAATGTTAATGCCAGCATGCTAACATGCTCACAGTAAAAATGCTAACATGATTAGCATGTACAGTATGCTTCTCATCTTGCCATCTTAGCTGGTGAACAGATGTTGTGTACTAATTAGCTGTTAGCTAACAGCTAATTAGCACAAACACAAAGTACAGCTGAGGTTGACGTGAACGTGATTAGTTAGGAAGAATTTTGGTCATAAACTACAGTACTGAACAAATTCAACATCTGAAATGATGATGGCACTTACAGTGTAAAAAAAGATCACTTAAGTTATTACAGTTAATAATGAGAAGAACGTGTTAGCCTGTACCGCATTTCATGTTAATCTTTCCAAGAGTTGTCAAGACATTTAATTCAAAACTGTAAATGTAAAGGTTTGGTGATCAACAAGGTCACTAGGATATATTGTCTGCACCAAACTGGATAAGTGAAAACTATGACCTGTTGGTGGCAATAGATGAAAAGTCACAGGATTACCAAAAAATATTAGGATTCATCAGCTGAGCACCACGGTTACCAAATTTCATGGCAATCCACCCAACAGTTATTGAGACCGTTCACAAAATTCCTAAAATGTCAACCTCATGGTGGCAGTAAAAGAAATGTCACAAGATCACAAAGTCAGAAGGGTTCATCTTATTAAGACCAGAAATATTTGTTTGGACCAAAGCACTGGACTGACAGATGGACACTGCCATGTCTAGACCCGTGCTGCTACCATGGCTAAAATTACATAAAAGATCCACTTGAACTGCTTCACTGATGTGTTTCTTTGCAACTGACATCCAAGAACTATCTAGCTGTCTACTATGTAAGAGGGGAAATAACTAACAGAACAACTGGAAAACATCACTTGGTCTTGCTCCAATTATATACAAACCCGATTCCAAAAAAGTTGGGACACTGTACAAAATGTGAATAAAAACAGAATGCAATGATGTGGAAGTTTCAAATTTCAATATTCTATTCAGAATACAACATAGATGACATCAAATGTTCAAACTGAGAAAATGCATCATTTTATAGGACAAATAAGGTGATTTTAAATTTCTTGGCATCAACACATCTCAAACGTCTGGGGACTGAGGAGACAAGTTGCTCAAGTTTAGGAATAGGAATGTTGTCCCATTCTTGTCTAATACAGGCTTCCAGTTGCTCAACTGTCTTAGGTCTTCTTTGTCGCATCTTCCTCTTTATGATGCGCCAAATGTTTTCTA